CGCATTGCAGTAGTCTATCTGGGAGATAACAAGGGCATGAGTGACTGTTCGAAGGGCATCGAAAGGACATTCCATGCTGTTTGCTTCTAAACTAGCTTGCCAATCACTGCTTCTCCTGAAGAATCTTAGGAACTTTTGTTTGCTTGAGGGTACTGAGAATTGCTTTCATTCAGCTCATAACTGAGACAGGCTTCTGTGGTCCTTAGCTATGTGGATCTCATCTAGGACAGCCTCAGGTTATGTATGAATGGCAGGAAAGAAATACTCACCTGTAAGGAGAGGCAGTTCCCCAGGAGAGATAGTCAGTGGCTCTTGGCGCTGGGCGAGGTACGATTGGTTGCTCCACTGCAGTTACATCACCTGAGTAGGACTTAAGGAGGGATGCGTTTTTGTTGGCCAGCATTGCTCTCTCATTCCTGCGAAACTTTGCCCGCCTGTTCTGAAACCACACCTAGGAAGAGGAGCATGCCAGAGCCAGGTGTCAGATACTGTGGGGTGAAAATCCTTGGTGCTGCAGGTTGTCTTTGTTTATTTCAGACTTCAATACCAACAAGAGGATGAGAAACGAAAGTCAGAAATTAAAGCCCAAAATTAAACAGAGCTAAATATGTAGAGCAGAAACTCTGCCTACAGTAAGATATTGTGCATCCGTCATTTGGCTCAACTTCAGGTAATAGGTCTTGCAATCTTCTACATCAAAATCAAAACAGATCTTTCACTGCTCCGGTCAGCAAAGCAAAGGTAGCCTCAGTTCACATAATGACTGTGTTTTTATTGGCCAGAAGGACATGTTTTTGGTTCAGTGGGGATGTTAAAGTAGGATCCAGGGAACATAAGTTCAATACTCCACTCACAAAAAGCAGCAGGGCTGGCTAACCACATTTTCATGTAAGGGAATTGAATACACTCTACCATAAAAAATAAAAAAAAGCCCTCCTAAGACATTGGGTCAAGAGGGTAAGATGAAACAACCATACCACTTCAGTTTATCTAACCAGAGTTTATGATCTTTCAGAAACAAGAAAGTTATTATTCCACACACCCGAAGGGCTAAATTTAATGGTTACATTTTTAATAAATATGCACTGGGTGGCCTGTTTATCTACGAAGCAGAGATGGGGAGAATACTTTCACTATCAAACTGAGCAAATGGAGAAGGAAAGTGCCATTCTGGCAAATTTTCAATGACTTTCTTCCACTTAGAAATAGATAAGATAGCCTCAAATTGATCTGGTGAGTGTTTTGGGCTGCAATATGGAAATGGTTTGTCATTCGTTTGTCATTTGACTGGATGCTATTGGAAAGGGAGAGAGAAAAGAAGAGGACTGAACCACGGCTCCCCTGTTCCTCATAGGAGGAGAACCCTTTGGATAAATAATCAAATCTAATGGAACGAGGCTATTCATATTCACATCAATTTCCTAGATTTCGGAAAGGTTTTCATCCTTAGTTTTGCAATGAATTGCTTTTGTACTCCCCTTTCCTGCTGCATTTAAGAAGCTATTGTTTCTACTTCTGAACTTAAAAAGTGAAATCTACTTGAGAAAAGGCAAGGTAGGAGCTGGTTTAGTCAGTGCCAGCATTTCATGGTTGGTACTGTACTTGGCCAGCAGTTGTAACTGTAATAAGGAGAAAAGCCTCGTCCTGCTGTGGAGGTGCTTCCCAACTGCCTCATCTATTGCACTGATCTAGTTATCAACAAGCTGCTAGAGCGGGATCAGGATAAACACCCTATGAGCAATTCCATCCCCTGCTCTTCAAAATAATGTTGACAGTTTTCAGAGGCTTCTAGCCATCACCTTAGTGAATGCAGCAAGCATATGTTTCTAAACTTAAAAATAGACTGGGCACCCCTCTAGAAACCTCAGTAAAGTCCACTGCTTTGAAAGATTTTTTTTGGCAGCCCTACTTGGCTTAGAACATGCCTATGCTATAAATTCAGTTGGAAACACACACATAAATTTTTGACACATTTCTCATTCCCCCTAAATTTCTTCAGATGGTTAAAGCAGAGAAAGTTTGTAACTCCTTCTAGAATCTAATAGTTTCCCCCTATTGTGGTATTTTATAGATTAAAGTCTACTGCAGAAAGATATTCTACAAAAATATGAGTACTGCTACTTCTTTGGGACAAGCACTCTGAGCACAATCCAGCCCAAACAAAACACATTTAAGCCCTTTAGGTTTAACAGGAATTATTTACACATGGCTTGTTGAAATCACAGGAAGCCTACAATGACTATGTCCAGAACATTTATACATGGAATCCCACACTGAATTGTTTTAATTGATTCTGTTGAGCCAATATATATAAAATACTATAGAATTCATTTATGTAACATCATAATAGGAAGCATCCTCCAAATAGATGCTGGATGAGACTCATTGTTATCTGAAATGCTGTCCACTTCCTACTACTGTAATTTCACTACTCAGACTAGTGAAATTACAAACATCGCTTTCTGATATGGCAACAAAAAAGTTTGCCACTTATGTAATTATTCATCTGATTTAGCTTCAAAGCCACTGGTTAGATCTGATGTCTAATTTAGTAACTAAAAGAACATTGCAATTTCTGTTAGTTATTTTCTCTAATGGAACACTTCATGTTGAAGGAACAAATAAAGTCTTGTTCAGCCACCAGTCCTATTCCTGGTTAACCCTGCCAAAGCAAAATTTCCAGTTTCTTTCATGCACATGAGTGAGATTAAAGAGACACTGGAGAAAATGCTGGCCATTATATCTGCTAAGTAGAAATGAAAAGCTTGTTTTTAACTTCCATAATTAATGTTTTCATTCCAGGATAGAGGTTGCAATTATCCGTAACTTTCATTTTCTTTTCTAAAGTGCCTGTTTTATTTATATTTGTATGTATTTGTTATCTTTGTTAATGTTGTTTAAACTAGTGCAAGCTTGAAGCTCACATAAGCTTTTGGGAGGTTGGAAAGGATCCATCTCAAGAACATCAGTATTACATTATACTGTAATGTGGTGTTGTCATGCCATCTCTGTAAGAGGTCTTCCTACCTTGGAAAAGAAAGGCCGTACAGCAGTAGCTGCTGAATCCTGCAGGAAGGCAGGACACCTTTAGATTCAGAACCTGAATGACTTCGTAGTAAAGGAGGATATTTGAACCTCTTCAAAGGAGCAGGTAATGATATTCTCTCCCATAACTATTTTAGTTTATGAAGAAAATGTTAGGACAATGCTTTTCAGTAACTTTGCTCATCTTCTATGACGATGAGGCTATGGCATTCTGTGCATAACCTACTATCTGATTTACATTAGAAATCTAAAAATGGGAGGTTTCTAGCTCTTAAGGCTGGACATTTATGACAGGAAAACATATAGAAAGATCTGTAGTGAGGGACTGAGTTTAGGTGCCCTGCATAGTTTTAATTTGTCTAGCCACGGTGCCCTAATCAAACACTTACCACTTATTTCATCCTTGATCCTTGAAAACTGCCGAAATGTTGATCTCAGAATAAGACATTTAAGTCAACAACTTTGTATATAATATGACAATCTATAGAAATATTGATATTCATAATTAAAAACATTATTTTAAAAAACATTTTAGCTTAAAAAAAAAACAATCTGATCAGTGAAACTATTTTTATATGTGAAACTATTTTAAATGTTCAAGGACTCAAATTCAAATGTTCTTGTTGTAACAACCTGATGACACTGTTAATACTTTTGGTTGTAACATACATCAGCTGAACTTGAATGGATATAATGTATTGGCCTGCCAAAAACGTGATCCAAACTCTACCCTTGTCCCTGATCAGCCTAAGCCAAATTTTGAGACAGCTGCTCCACTATATAGGGAGGCAGGGATAAAACTAAAGGATAGCCTCTTCCCCCCACCTGACTGCATATGTCTCTTGCAACCATCTGTATCCACAATATAGCAATTCATTATTACACACATTGTTCTGTCACACTTTTTTGTTCGTGTCTATAGCAAATTTCCATATACATTCTGATGTAACTGAAATAAAATACAGGGAAGACAATATCTACATTTATTGCTGACTGGAAACCTCTTATAGACTTTTTGCGTGAAACAGAAAAATGAACTTATGATTTATAGTTTTGATGATTAGGCAGAATAGATTATAGAAAGCAGTGAAGTATATGTGGTAGCCATAGAGTAAGGGGTAAACTTAAAATCGTACTTATAACTGCCGTAAAGAAAATCGGAAGCGACTTCTTTGAATCTTTTTTTCTTTCTTTTCCATTTTTTTTTTTACTTTTCCCCCTCTCTTGCACTTTTAGCTTTCTCTTTGATTTCTTTCTCTTTCTTTTCTTTTCCTTACATTATATTGGTTTGCATTAGTTTTCATTTCCTTTTAAAAACCTTTAAGAAAATTATATTAAAAAATGAAATAAAACATGGGGGATGGGGAAATCAAAATACATTTTAAAACAGTAGAAATAGAAAGATGGCACTTTTTGAAGCAAAAACTTTTTATAGGCACTGAAAGAAAGGAGAATGTGTCTACCTCTGTGTTTTTGTTTTTTCTTTTGAAAAAAATAGGATAGAATGAATGAGAATAGTAAGCCATCTGCTCTGTTCTTTGGGGTGCTGGATTCATTACCTGGACCCGGGCCTCGGTGAGGTTGACCCTGCGTGCAAGGTCTTCCCGTACAAAAGCATCTGGGTAATGTGTCCGCTCAAAGACTCTCTCCAGGGCCTGAAGCTGGCTGCTGTTGAAGGTGGTTCTGTTTCGCCTCTGCTTTCGTTTCTTCTTCTCTTCAGAATTCAGTTGGTCACCTGGCAGGCAAGAGAGCAGAGAAATTGAAGTGGGGAGGTGATTCAGGAGACTGAAGAATCTCTCTTTTCATCAAATACATGGCTTTTAGAGATTAAGACATTTAAAAAAACTGCCTGGCAATTAACAAGTGAGGTCAGATATAATCCACAACAGCAGTAAAACAGAACAACATGCAATTTTCCACGACTGTTCTATGGCTCTTCAAATGCAGGTGGTCTTTAGCTATGATGACATATGAATGGCTGCACAGTGTTTCAAATGCATCCCCCTTTGTTGATTGAGTGGAAAAGCAGTATTTTTCTTCTCAATGACTTTAGGGCTCAATCTGTCCTTATCAAAATAATTTGGACAACTGAAATAATATACACAATAAGGTACCAGCACGCAAAGGGAGTGCTATATACTATTAACATTAGTTACTCATTATATCTATAGATGCACAGCCTAGGATCAGTCTGTTTTGTGTAATAAACTCTTTTCAGGACTTCATAACTTGTGTTGCAAATGGGATCAAGACCAATAGTATTTTAATAGTTTTTAAGCTTCTTTGCAATGCTGAATTTTACCAACACTTGCCCTTTAAAATCTTTGTGAGCCAGAAAAACTATTTCAACTAAAAAAATACTTTTTAATTTTGATCACAGTTGCTATTAGGCAGAACATTTATCAGCCTGGCTTTTGTGAATCACAGAAATTTTCCCACAGTGCTTGGTGCTATATAAAAATATTACAACTGATCCATATTTACTGCCATTCAGTGAAAGTTGTAAGTTATATGCCATCCAAACCCACAAAATACAACAAAATGTTCTAGCTGTGTTAATGTTTCAAAACATCATATGTGTACAAGGGTGCATCAACGGTTTACTATTTAGGCTAGACTTCATTTCCAGGTTCCCAGGCGAGCTGTAACCGAGAGTTTTTTCACCAATGTGTCACTAAGAAAAGGTGGACTCAGTTGGGGTACTGAAACTACCAACCAACCCAAAAAGACCCCACTGTTTATTTATCGGATCCCAAATGTGTGAATTACAAGACTTTCACATTTTTATTAGCTTTAGTTTAACTGCATAAAAATATAGACTAAGCTTAGACAACAAGGCAGCCTCAAAGAAATAGTTACAGTAAGACTGAAGGTGGTAGGGATAACTTAATGACCAGATGCCCCCCCTTATATATTTCCAAGTGTATGTATTTAATACATTTATATGTCAAAACAGGACATTCTCTAGGTGGCTTGCAGGAATAAGAGTTAATGGTGCTTTTTTAAACATATGTGTTATCTGAGAATTGAACAATCCATAATGGTTTTAACCTCCCAAAATGTGTTTTTTCCTAACACAGAATCCCAAGCTGAACCTATGAATGTTACTAGCTTGTCTGGGCTATTGAACCAAGTAGCCTCAAACCGGTAGGGATAGCCAATATTGGTATCAATAAAAATGACACATGCAATTTCTATAATAACAAGGGCAAGTATATACATTTTTTGTCAGTCCTGCCCACGTAGAACTGAGATTATGGCTATATTATGCTTCAAATGATGTATATCATCAACTATGATGGACTGGATACAGTATCCCCACTCCCACCCCTCATGACATGAAGAGCAATGATTACTGGCTGTGTTAAACTAAAACTCAGGAACTGCAACCCAAGATTTGGCTATTTCAAATCAACATGTAAACTTCATCAGTTATAAGTGAAATATCTTTAACTGGTTCTCTGCTTGGTACCCTGTTCAAGCATTTGAAACTTTTGATAGATGCAACAGATGAAGCAACCATACATGAAACCAGAAAGGTAGTCAGCAATATTACTCTGTTGTTGCACAAACAGCACAAGCCTTTGTGGCACTTAGAGTCTAATACATATTATGGTATATAGTTTTGTGAATTGCAGTCCACTTTGTCAAAGACTTTGTTGTGTACATTCTAACTTAAGGTTCCCCAAAATCTATTCAGGGCTGTTCCCAAGCTAATTTAACAGCTCTCTTGTAGCAATGAGGATTTAAGAAACAACAACTGATACTTCCTTTGGGGAAATACCACACTGGTGGGAATTTCCAGCTTCAGAGAAACTGGGAGGGAAGGACTGCTTGCATGTCAGTTCTTATCCTACTTATTTTCACCCAACCTGACCTTTGCAATATCCGCAATAGTTATAGCCTGCAAACGAAATGCGAAGAAACATTTAGCATTATATTTAATTTGAGCCTAATTCCCTTAAATCTTGGGCTATCTTTTCCTAAGTGGAGATCACAAACTTTGCTAAAGGAGAACATACCAGAAGGATGAAATCCTCCTCCTCCTCCTCCCCCCCCGTCTGTCTGTCTGTCTGTCTCTCTCTATATATATGTATATTGGTATGTATGTATGTATGTATTGGTTGAGGTGGGGAGTGTGATGTTAAAAAGCAGTTTCCAGAACTGATCAAAGGGTCTATTAATCAGAAGGAAAAAAGGCTGAGGATATCAAGGGTGAGTTCCATATGGCCCCATGTATCTTAATCACATAAAAAGGGCTAGATGTCTGCTAATGTACAACAAAAGAATTATAATTTTCAGACTTTTATTTTACACTGTTAAAATTTCCAGAGTGAAAAAAAGGGTTTGGAAAAAAAGGATGTATGTGCCTTCTTTCCATTCCTGATAAAATGCCTCTAATACATCCCCTTTTGAGGAAAGATATACACATATACTGATCACCCTATTATTATCTTTTGAGAAGATCAACATTTTGCAAAGGGCAGAAAAGATGTAAGAAATTATTAGTCAAAGAAAATGAAAGCATGAGGTAAGGAAAGAAATGTATAAATCTAATTTATAATTTACCAACAGCACTCATTATACCTCTCCATTATACCTTTCTATACTTACAAATCATCCTGACTTCTATCATCTCCATATACATTGCTTTTTTGTTAATACAAAACAAAGTTTAATCCTTTAAACTTCTTGCCTTTCTTTTCCAGAGTCTCAGTAACTCCACTGACCCACTACTTCTTCAGTCTTCCCCTTCCTTTTGACCCATTCAAATTTCCTTCATACATTTGTTCTGTGATTTGATCCTCATTCATCCTCTGTATGGCAAAGTAATGCCAACATACACTTTGTGCTGCTCAACCAATTTTGTATTCAATTTGCTTCTTTGAATAATCATTCCACACAGCAGACCACATATTATCCATTACTTTTCTACTAGCCTTTCCATATCTAAAAATTTCTCCATCCATTTTTCCACCTTTAGTAAAAATTGTATCCAGGTATGCAAATTCATCCACTTCATCTAGTTTTTTGCCACTGATAATATGACACTCCATTTTCCCTGTCAAATACAACTACCCTGTTTTTTGATATATTGATCTTCAGATTCTTGTTGCACTGAACAATCTAATGTTTACTGCAAGTCATTCAGATTTTCATTCAACATGACATCATTGTATACAAAGGTACATGTGCATTCGTACCCTCATCTGATACACATTTAATGTCACCACAATCATTCCTTAATTAGCCATAACCATATCTATATCCGTCAACACAGTAAAGAACCAAGAATATCTGTACCTACATCCTGCTCAGTGTTGAACCTTTTCCTAAGCAATCTGTTTATACGCACACATATTTTACCATCATTAGATACCACTATTACTTTTTCAGTAATCAACTTTCAACATCATATTCACACAAAACTTTCTGTAATCTAAATCTAATTCAATTTATCACATGCTTTCTCTGTATCAAATGGATAATAATAATTCTTTCTCCAGTTCACCCATTTCCCAATGACTGCTGAAAAGCAAAAATCTGAAGTGTGCACCTCTGCTCAACATAAAGCCTTAGTGCATTTTCAAATTAATACCCTTTTGGTAAGAATTCTTCTATACACCTTCCCAGACACACGTATTAGGCACGCCAATTTCCCTGTATTCCCTGTTAATACTCATTCTTGCTAACTGTACCTTTGTTTAAGAGAACAATAAAAGGATTCTTCCAAATAGAGCTTATACATGTTCAAATGCAAATAAATAAATAAATAAACAAACATGCTTATATACACTGCCACTCCATAACCAAGGCATGTCCATACATTAACATTTTTCCAGTTACACCATCTACACTGCAGTCTTACCATTTTTCAACATTCTCACAGCATTTATAGCTTTCTTTACATTGATCTTTATTGCCACTAATATTTGCAGCTTTTGTTTTAGTTCACTTCTTCAGTATATCATTATCATTCCCATACAAATCTCTAAAATACTTCTTCTAGCACTCCCTCATTTGAGTTTCATCCCAAAATTGTTCATCACTTTTATTTTTAACATGCCGCTTTTTAGCCCTCTACACCCACTTCCAAAACAATGTCTATTGCCATCAAAATTGCCCTGCATTTTTTCTGCCTCTTTTAATCTTAACTGTACCTTGCTCTTAGTTACAAAGAATATAATCACTTTTCTTCTCTTACTCCTCATATATATTTCTCTTCATTTTTATAGCAATCATGCAATCAAATAAATTATTTTATCATCCACAGCCTCTTTTACCCCATTATTCTAGCAAACATTTGTTTTCATTCTTCTACTCCACATTCTGTAATACAACTGTTTTCCCTCCATTCCAAGCAGTTTCCACATAATCTTCCCTTTATGTCATTGTCCATTCATTCTGTTAGGTGCCTAATCTGTTTCCAAATACTTTTTCATACAGGACTTTTCTCCCATGCCCATTTCCCCCCATTCAGAACTTCCCATCACCTAGTATCCTTCACTATTTCTATCTTTCATCATAAAAGAAAATCAATCATGCTATTAGATTTATATTCATTTCTTTGCATGTATATTCATTTCTTTGTTTATGCTTAAACCAAGTATTTGAGAATAGTAGACCTTTTTTTAAAGCAGATACTTACCAAATAGTCCTTTTGATTCAGGTCTCTAAATAACCGTCCCTTTTCTGGCACTCTTTCAGTTCATTCCCATCCACCCATTCATTCATGTCACTTTTCCTTGGATGCATTCAGAATATTGCACAATTTTCCTCCTAACTAATCTCTGCTTTGTCCATTATCACCATTCACTGGAATGTACCATGCAGCTATCACCAAGCTATGGATTCCTACTTTTACAAACATTTACAACTATGTAGATTACATCAACCTATACCTTCTGATGAATGAGTTCACCTTTTGATTCATAATTAAGCCTTCACTACCTTATATGTATTTATAAACTCCACAAGATCAGACCACCTTCAGATCTAGAGTACTATATCCTTCTGCTTTCTTTTAGTTTCACACACACACACCCTCCCTCTCTCTCTCTCTCTCTCTCATTTCATTTGTTAATTCATACTCTTTACCATTTGCTCTTTTTATATTCCAAGTTCCATCTTCCATATGCCATGGTCTTCACCAGATGGGCTCTTAGATATTGACCAGAGACATGATGAGAAGCAGAGGCCAACTGAAGCTTTCCCATAAAGATTTTTAACAATATAGAGAAGATTAAGATTAGGTTACCAACCTTAATCATACCTGTACAGTATGCAGCTTTCACTGCTAATATACTATATTGATCGGCGTTGACTAGTATGGCAGAAGTGCAAGTAAAGCAGTGTTATCTCAAGCACCCTTTTTTTTTTTTTTTTGGTCTGCACTCAGTCATTGCTG